ACCTGTATATATATATATATATATATATATATATATATACATACACACTATCCCATTTAGGCCTTCTCACAGGAAGAATGATGAATATATATACTGTATATATTCATCATTCTTCCTGTGAGGGGGCCTTAATGGGATAGTTCACCCAAAAATAAAAATTGTCATTATTTACTCACCCTTACGTCGTTTCAAACATGTATGAGTTTCTTTCTTCTGTTGAGCAAACAAAGATATTCTGAAGAATGTTGGTAACCAAACAGTTGACGGTAGCCATTGACTTCAATAGTATGGAAAAAATACTATAGAAGTCAATGGCTATGGTCAACTGTTTGGTTATACAAGTTTGGAACAACTTGAGAACAGGTAAATGATGAAAGAATTTTTTTCTTTTTCATTAACTATCCCTTAAAGTCTTAAAATTATTTAAATGTAGTCTAATTAACATAATTGTACTTACAAAGAAAAAACAGAAGTACTAGAGGTATGTATCAGTGTAGATGGAAGGACCTTCAAATATTGTCTTGAACAAAGGAGACCCTTTGAGTCAAGAAGGTTGAGGACCACTGGCCTAATGTTGGATGGATTCATTTTATTGTGCCATTTTGTGTGAATATGGGAAAGTCTGCATTTATTGGTTTATTTATGTGTTTGTTTGTTTTATACTTTTTTTTTCTGTTTGTTATGCTGCTATATTGGTGTCTTACATTAGATAATACCATAAAACCTATATCACATACATTACAGGTGCTCTTCCGACACCCAGAATACCCCAAAACCCCTCTGTCACAGACAAGGATGATGGCATGAGGGTGGTCGTATCTGAACCTCCAGGTGAGTCTTGTTCTCACAGACAGGGTTGAAGACTGTCATGACATGAATACCTGTTAACACAATACAATGGGTTCTAAAATCTGAGATTTTTTTTTTTTTTATTCAAACCTGAAATAACTGGAGTAAACCTAATTTTACGATTTTGAAAGAATTAAAGAATTATGATGCAAATAAAAGACAAATATTTCAGCTTCTGAACTATTTCTGCGTCACTAATGAAGTAAAACTTGTATCATTGGTCATGTGACTCTGTAGACACGATCAGATGTTCCTGTTTCCTCTGAAGCACAAGCTGCTCTTTAAATCATCTTGAATCATGATGCAAGTTTTCATTCAAATGATTATGCTGATGGTATAATTTGCAATAAGATCTATTGAAATAGAATTAGACATTGTGGTCTCAGAAGTTTGGACCCCACTGTACATTGAAAAAAAATGGTGTGGAACAATGAATGAAACATGAAATATTTAAATAGAAGCAGTATATAAAGTTTTATTTAGAGTTTTAAGTATATAGAGTTTTATTTACAACTTTGTTTACGGTATACTGTGTTGACTTAAAACTTAACCGAATACCTGGGCCCAAATTCTAATAGAGCGTAGCGATAGTTCTGGCAGGCCATGTTAGTCAAGATCGCATCAGCTGACACTCAGCTGATCCACGTCTACCTATAGGATCACGACACCAGTCATAATTCCCTTCATAAGGTCCCTTCAGTCATTATTCAGCAGCTATCGCTACGCTCAGGAACTAATCACCCACCTCCATCCCCAGCTCCTCCTTTCGTCCAGTCAGGATTTGGCAGTGAATATATCATTGATCCACGTCTACCTATAGGATCACGACACCAATCATAATTCCCTTCATAAGGTCCCTTCAGTCATTATTCAGCAGCTATCGCTTCGCTCAGGAACTAATCACCCACCTCCATCCCCAGCTCCTCCTCTCGTCCAGTCAGGACTTGGCAGTGAATATATCATTGAGTCAGACCACTGAATCATGTTGTTAAAATAATCACGTAGAACATTAATGGTATCTGCTACATTTATCATTGATGTTGGTTCTGTTCTGTTACCCTAGGGGGGTATTCTGCTCTCCCTGCACCTATCCATGCTAGGCTGCGTGGATGGGCAGGAAGTGTTTGCCCAGAACAGAACCATTCCCCCAACCTAAAATGTATGCTAATCGTAAGTTATATTGACGATAGTGGTCCTGACAGAACTAAGATTCCTCTAAGAAAGCTCCTAATTTAGCTTAAAAATTTCTACATAGGAGTCTTAGCTTAAGAGCAATTCAGGACCCATCTGAGAGCAACTCTTGAGTGAGGAAAAGACAAAAACTTTCATCTTAGTGAGGAGGTGGGGCTGACCCCGTTGCTAGCTATGACACAGTCTTTTGAAGACTGTGATTGGTTGGTTGTCCAAGAAGGAAATAAAAGAGTGCTTTTAAGTGTAGGGTCTATTATAAGCCTTCACTTTGAAATTACAGGCATAATTTTTCAGATTTTACCGTACTCTCACACACACACATTATATATGTATATATATTCTTTATTTTTTTATTTACCATGCTGTTAATGTCATACTTAACGTATTTGATAGGAAATGAACAGCGACACAATAAGGATCTGAAAGTGCTGTAATTGTTTGTGTGATCACTTTGCTTATAGAAGGTTGTGACAGACCCAAATCATCACTGCTGCATAGTTGTATTTTTCCAGTTGCCAAATATGTTAATGTAGTTAATGTAGTGATTTCTACCATTTCTGTGCGGTGTCGGAGATGTTAGCATGTCTCTAATAAGATCGGTCACAAACATGATCCCTGCACCATCTAATGTGTAGCGTCTTATTAACTCACTGTCAAGCATTGTGTGCTACACATTTCTTCTCCCTCTTCATGTTTTGTCCATTTTCTTAAAAGTCCTCGTCCGTACTCCTAATAATTTTGGACCTTAAGACCTCCTCTAAGGGTTAAGATGCTTTCTGAATTACTTTTTTCTTTTTTTAATTTTAAGAGGAAACACCCACATTTCTAAGAATTGTCTTATAATTTTGTTACTAGGAGCAACTCTTAGCACTAAGATTTTTCATGAATACGGGCCCTGGTGTATTTTAAAGTAAAATAAAAAAATTTAAAAAACTTTCCAGTTAGGACATATTAAATTGATTAAATGTTTTCCAGACATGCATAGTGTTACAAAAGATTTATATAAAAAATAAATAGAACTTTCTATTCAGCAAAGAATCCTGAAAAACATTACTGTTTCCACAAAAAATATTAAGCAGCGCAACTGTTTGATAATAATGAGATATTGATGATAATAAGAATTTTGTTCTTGAGCAGCAAATCAGCATGTAAGCATGATTTCTGAAGGTTGGGATAATGGCTGCTGAAAATATATTACAATGGAAACAATCATTTTATATTGTAAAAATTCCACAATATTACTGCAGCCTGGGTGAGCATTAGATACTTCTTTCAAAAATATGAAAAAAATCTTACCAACCCCAAACTTGGAAAAGAAGTGTAAATAAAGACTTTATTGATCACACTAACCAATGTCCTGATGCATGTCTTTCAGACAACGTTCTTAATATTGCTTACATTGTGCTGCCAACCATCCCACTTCTGCTGCTGTTGATTGTGGCGACGAATGTTTTCTGCTTTAAGCTGTTCACAAAGAGGTGCGTTGTTTGACTGCTCTCTTTCTGATCAGAAGCATTTTAAATATGATCAATTTGATGGCATACAACATCATTTATGCATGCAGGATGAAACAACAGACTGAGACCCCTCCAAAGGAGCCAGGATACTGGGCCGCTGGAGAAAGATGCAACAGCCCAAGCCCTGACGTCTATAACGTCATCCGAAGGCAGCATGAATCAGACCTGGCCGGCACGCGGCCTGACATCAAGAACACTTCCTTCCTGGGTTCTTCTCCAGACACTCCACCTGGAGATTACGACAACTTGGCAGGCCGGGACACTGAAAGTGGTTTTGTGACACTGACCAGCACTGAGAGCGGCTTTGTGACCAACGATTTGTATGACACACTGCAAGGCCGTGGAAGTGGGAGATATTACAGAGACCAGGGATGGATGGATGAATTATATGGCTACTGATATGAAAGGTGAACATTAGCATTTAACTGCATATTCTCCTGTAAAAATTATGTCTTACCCGAGTATTTCCTTGGTGCCAGATATCCAATATTATCTATTTCAGTATAGGTTATCAAATCAGGAGGACGCTAGAGCTCAAAAGAGGCCTGGATGTGTGTACCCTGTACTGTATTAAATGAATGAGAGCGTGTGTTATTTTAGTATCATTCATAAACCATTAGTTTGTGTTTTTGTTAATATAGTTTTTGTTAATATTAGGAATTCGATTTCTATTTATATGTTCCATTTCATTTAAATGTTTATTTAAAGTTTTAGCATTTTTTATTATTATTAGGGTTTTTTCAATACAGTTTATAAGTTTTAGTTTATAGTTTCAGCTTATTTAGTTTTAGTTTTTTTTAATAAGCTACTAAAACTAAACGCAAATGATAATTGTTGCTTTGGCTGAAATAACATAAGCTAAAACGGATTTAAATGTAATTTTTTTTTTTATATTTTGTTTCACTTAGTGATTACTTTAAAGTAAGTAGGCTACATTTTTATGGTTTGAATTTTATTTTCAAACTATTATAACCCTGATTAGAGAAACCAATACGCAGATTTCTGCAGATCTACCATTAATTCAGTCAGACTTTTAGTGCAACAACATCTGAAGTTTACAGGTCCCATATGATTATCAGATGTAATTTGCCCATTTCTTTTTTTTATTATTTGTATTATGATTTTAGTTTTTATAGGCTCCTATGACACATAAAATATCTATAACAGTGATGCAGTAATACTTAGGCGTTTTTAATGCATCTTAAAGCCAAATTCTGGAGGATAGACACTCAAAGGTGGAACAATATTACAAACAAGCTGCTCAACAAATCAGAATGAGATGCTCGGATATGAGATAGCTTGTTTGCCCTCACTGGTTGGTTTGCATGACCCTGTTATGCTGCTTTTACTGGATGTGCTGTATGGGGCTCAGTAATTACACTGACAATCTCTTGCAGACTGTCTTTTCCTGTGTAATAATGAATGATCAAACATCCTTCAAGTTTCTTATATGCAAATATCGGAATGTGAATGCAGTGATGTGAAGCCTTAATAAACAAACAAAAAAACAAATGAATGAAGTTGAAACTAAACATTTTTACTTCCATATTTCGGCATCACCATCTATAGTTATGTACTGTACATGTGTGGTTAAAAACAGCAGTAAGCGTTTTTGACAGCAGGGGTCGCTCACTGACAACATGCTCAGGGCCCTGTGAGCGTAGATGTGCAGATCTACAGATGTTTAAATAAATGTACAAATATATGTTAATAAAATACAACATTATATGCATTTTAAAACATATATTTTATTTATTTGAAAAATGTATATTTTCAATTAAAAATAAATTCTAGAATCGTTTCACTCCAAATAGCAATATTTAATGTGTAATCAAAGTTGTTATTCTAAAATACTGCAAAGCCATTTGGTATGCATAATAGACACAATATTATCTTTATATGCATATGTGCATTGACATACATTACTTGTCAACGTTTTAGACCCTAAAGTCACAAAAATATAAAACAACAATAGTGGATAATAATATGTAGTAGTATTATTTTTATTATTATCGTTGTTGTTATGTTTTTAGGGTTCCTTTTCCACACTGCGGTGTTAAATAACAACAACAAAAAAACAAACAAATAAATAAATTCAAAATATGAAGCAATGCAATGATGTCAGCTGCACTTCAAGCACGGACTGAGCCCCCGCTATCTATGCCTGTTTTCTTCTTTTCTTTCTTTCTTTTCTTTTTTCACGCATTAAGCAAAATCAGTCGTCTATGAAAAATGCATGCAGCACAAATTCATAAAAATCCGTACTTATATTTACTTGTGGTATGGTGTCGCGTGCAGGATCTTTTCAGTGATTCTAAACAATGAAATGCATTTGGGTTTTCGAAGGTCAGATGTAAGCAACGGAGTTGAAAGTGTTTGTAGAGATTGCAATAGCCACTGATTGACGTACGCAGTGGATAAGGTTGTCTTGGTGACACGCTGGTCGCGGACGTTGAAGCCGCTTTGTGAGATCCGCCCCTTTATAAAAATCCCTTCAGCACTGACGTCAATGCATGTAGAGCTCGAGCGCCAGAACATCATTCCTCATGCCGAGCATCAGAGCGGAATGCGCTCTCATTTCAGTCATGTTAGAGCCCTTATCTGGAAACGAAGACATGTGCAGGAGCCCTTGGCACCCATATGCCCCATTTGCATTTTAGCTTTGGCATTAGAAACAAAATCATACCTGCCACTTGAATTGCTTTGTATGAGCAGGTGAAGGTGGCCAAATCATCCACACACCTCTTTATCCAGTAGTTCACTAGAAAACTATGGTCATGGCCGCCCAGGACCAAAAGCCGTCGCAGCGGGCTCCGGTTCGCGTGGGATTTTATGATATTGAGTGCACGCTGGGAAAAGGCAATTTTGCAGTTGTGAAGCTGGCGAGACATCGTATCACGAAATCTGAGGTGAGTAACACACACACACACACACACGTTCACTCACACACTAGTGTTTTCGATTTACATGCGTTTGTGCAATCAAAAAAACTTACATTTTCACTTTTATCATTGAAGGAGAATAGCCTATCTTATAGAAAATGTTAAGCCTAAATATTTGGAAGTTGTATTTGAGTCTGTGTCAAATGTGATCTGCGAGATGAAAAATAGAAACATCTTTAAAATGCAGTTTAAAACATATGTGCTATAATGTTGTATTTGTACTCACGGTTATTGCATACATTTTTGAAAAGCGTTTATACAGTTTTGCACAAAGAACAGATGTAATGACTTTTACTGTGTCACGTGGTGTAATTATCAACTAAAAATAATAAAATAAAATATAAAACTAAAAAAAATACTCAGTGTGCAAGTTTTAGTTCATATATAATATGTAATATATACATATATAATGATTTTTTTATTATTTTATTATGATTTCTTGGGGTTACTATATTTCACTTTGAAAATGTGAGTTGCAATAAAAAAGTCAAAATACTTTATGTGAAATTTAAAAGAAAAAACGCTCTAAAGGGGGTCCCCTGTTTTTTGTCACATGACATTATGGATTTCTTCATGTTGGTGTCACCATACTGACTTTGACTTGCCATACAGAAATTTGATTATTAAAAATATTAAAGGGGTCATATGATGCTGCTAAAAATAACATTATTTTGTGTATTTGGTGTAATGAAATGTGTTTATCCG